CACCCACTTCTCTTTCGAGGGGGCGTTCTCTGTGCTGGCTCACATGGCCTCGGGAACGAGATGCAAGGGCTTCCTGAACTGGATAAGACCCTTGGAGCATTTGAGAGCCTTGGTGACCTCGGGCTTGGATGAGAAGTTCATGCATTGTCATATTTTGGGCTGCAATGTCTCTCATGCCCGCAGCTATTTGAGTCATTCCTTCAGTGAGCATGGCTGTTCTTTCACCTCGACGACGCCGGTGATGGGGTCTCTGGTGAGTGACATTGTTATGGAGCACCTCTTCTTCAGAGGCCTCTCTCATAGGGTTCTCGTTTTCATGGTTGTAACTCATCTTATCTCCTTTTTTAAGGGTGATAAGAACTTGAATTAAAACTTGACTTTGCTCTTTTTCAAGAACATGCCCTTTTCAAGGTAAGTCACTAGTTTTCCTGTGGTTTCTCCAGTGGAGAATGCAGAACTTTGGACGGGAAGTTTCCCACAGACGGCGCTAATCTGTTGACCTCGCAAATTGGACCCTCCATGTTGCCAATCGACAGCTACTCCACGTATTCCTCCCCGTGCACAGTCAAAGCACTATTAGATGCACACGGTCGGAACCAGCGGGGGTGGTGGCGACCGCATACACTCTGACAATCAAGTTAGCTTCAGGTGATCGGAACAATATCAAAGTTGTACAAAATAGTGGGGAGAAGAATATATATTTGCTTGTTATGGAAAGTTATGTTGTAAGAGTTTCATTACCTCTGCCTCTTGTCAAACCTTGGGTATTTATAGGTGAGGAGAATCGTTGGATGTGGGACACATGTGTGCATCTGGCGGTATGAGGCGTTTGCTCATAGGTGTCAATCATTTGCGTCTATAGAGTGGATGGGTAATTACTTCTCATGAGTTAAGTTGACATAAAGTGGATACGTCACATTAACTAGGCTCATGGAGATGTCAAATCAATTAAACCTTGGGGACAGGAAGGATTTTGACATAGATCTCTTTTTGAAATTGGCGGCGGATCCTCTAACAGAGAACCTTGGAACGTATTATGCCTCGGCTTCAGGGGCGAGGACGCTTCGGTCGGTTCAGCAGATTGTCTGTACCTCGCAGTGCGTTAGCAGATCAACAACATTGATGGTGACGTCACTTCAGAAACACTTCAAATGGGTGTTGGACACCTCGTATAACACGGTGGTAGACTTTCTAAAATGGTTCAGATAGGGGTGTAATAATGGTCGCGAGGACACTTCAGTCAGTTCAGCAGATTGTCTGTGCCTCGCAGTGCGTTAACAGATCAAAAACATTAGTGGTGGGGTTACTTCGAAAACACTTCGGATGGGTATTGGACACCTAGTATAACGTGGTGGTAAACTTTTCGAAGTGGTTCAGATAGGGACGTAACAAAATCAATATGTTGAACTCTAAAACCCTAATGACAACTCAAAGACAAAATGGCAGTAACTCCTAATTAAATTGAATTAAAATAAAATAAAAGTAATAAACAAAATATGAGAACTCGTCGGAGTTCGAGCCCCTAAACTCATCAATAATTTAAGCCAATTAGCTGTTGATGTTTATGATGATTAATAAAAAAATTCTAATTTATTTTGAGGAAGCTTCTTTCCTATTAATTTGAAAGTTTTTCTTGAACATAGAAATTGTTCGATTCCATTGATAAAGGTAGTAATTCTCGATTGAGGAACCAAAAAAATTCTAAAACATCCTCCAGAGTAGTTAGATATTATTTCTCCAATGAGATAAATTGGTTTGTGTACAAATAACCCTACTTCTCTCAACTTTTTATTTTTCAAAATTATTTAAAATTTGACATATAATCTATCAAAACTAATGGGATAGCTTGTCAAATAACGAGTCTCGTGGTGTCTTCGTTCAATTTACTTGATCAAGTAATTAGTAAATTTATTAACCAGAATTTTGAGTAAACACTTTTCTATAAATTTAGATGTTGTGTGCTTCATTATGCCCCCATTTGATTTAGCTCAAAATTAAATTTTTGGAAGATTTTAATAAAAAATGATGAATTGTGTGGTTGCGTAGTATATGAAAATTGTGGATCTCATAAAACATATATTGAAAATGAATTTTAAAATATGAAAACCAAACATGGACTAAATGAAAATAACTTTTAAAATAAGGTTGTTTTCATTTCAATTATTAGAAGACGACCCAACATAAATGCAAAATTTAAGTGGTTTTAATTAGTAGAACCCAATTGATTTATTGCTCCAATAGGCCACGAAAGAGAATATGCTGGAGGAGTACCAATTGTTTATTATTAGATCTTGTTCATAAATAAAAAAGAATGTAATATGGAATAGTGATTTTTGGAGAATTTGTGATTAAAAAGTAAGGATTTTTTTTTTGAAATGCTTATATAATTATTTTATTGAAAAATATGTGATTGAAAATGATATTTGAAAAAAAGTATTCTTGAGAAAACGAGGCACAAATAGGGGCTTAGTATCAGTGTAGTTCGAAAAAAATTTGTCCTCCCTAACTCCGTCCCTGATTGAAGCTGTATTCCTAATCACAAGTTCAAAGCTAAGCCCAAATTTCATACGCAACTCATTGCCCATATTCAATAAAGCTCAAGTCGGTTATGCTTTTTGCTTAAATTTAGATACGATGATTTAATATAGGATATAGAAATTTAAAAAGTATATTGAGCGCAACTCACACTTTATCTATTTATAGAAGTTCTACAAGTAATATATTATGCTCCTGTTTGACAACTATTATAATGAGAAATTTGGGTTACATGTACTTTGAAATAGTAGTTTTTTGGAGAATATATGATTAAAAAAGAATGAAAAGTTTTGTATTTACGTGTAATATTATTTTATTAAAAAATGTGCAATTAAAAGAAAAGAGAAAAACAATATTTTAAAAGGAATCAAACAAGGGCTATGTAATAACAGAAAAATGAGTGGGTATACATATTTTCTTTGATAACATCTCTCACCAACCCTAATCTTGTCGTTTGACATTTTATTTAAGTTGTTAGTAAGTAATAACATTTAATTGATAGCATAAAATAATCTAAACACAAGCTTAAAAAATGAAAATCAAACTCAGGAAGAAGTTTATATAAAAGTCTGTGTTACAAAACAATAAAAAAAGAGTTTTTGTGCTAATCTCTACTTGGGTTTATATTTGGACTAATTGTCTGACGTGAACCATGCTACACTAATAGGGTTAAAATCCAAAGTTTGGAACCAGATACACGTGTCATATGGTTATTGGGCAGATTAAAAAAAATTTACAAGAACACTCAGCACTTGTTTCAAAAGCCTGGTTTTAAAGTCTGGCAAAGCAACAAAACTCTTTCATAAAGAGGGGAATCTAAGCCTTGAGAAAATGAAAATGCACTTTTTCTAGAATTTTCTGAAACAGGATTTTCAAATATTCTATAGTTTACAAGGTGGGTTAGGTAGTACATAAATCCTGTCCATTATTTCATGTTTTTGTAGACCCAAACACCTTTTCATAGAGGAATCTATCTTTTTCGGGTTTGTTGATTTTGTTATGAAAAGAATGTAATTTGTCCCATCTTCAATGATCTCTTAATCACGCATAATTTTAGTGGGCAAGAGCACTTGTTTTTTGAGGATTACATCAGTAGATCATTACACTAATTCAATTCATAGTTGCTGATTATTACATCAACATATCATCAAAAAAAATACTAATTCATTCTGATTAAACTTCCATTTTGTTTAATCTGTAAGTTTCTCTCAAGTGAAAGAATTCTTTAGTTCAATAAGTAAATATCCTTCTGATTAAACTTCCATTACTAAAATGCATGCTTGTGCAAACTTAGTAATAAATTTACAGTTTAAAAGACCAAAAAAAATACGAAGATAGGATGAGAAACATTAAAGGATATCATTGTCATACAGTAGGTGTGGAGCCAGTACCCGACGAGAGGGCGCGATCGCGCGTGCTGGCTCCACCGGAGTCTTGAGAACCGCGGGTTGCAAATGGCGGAGTTGCAGAGCTAGCCGGAGAGGAGATGAAGATGACAGACAATGAAGATGATCCCCTTTTTTTTTTTTTTTTTTTTTTTTTTTTTGGTTTGGGCCGAACAACTGAAGCCTGATTAAATAAGGTAATTCTGGCCCAATTCTGATTAGCCCAAATGCCCAATTTTCATTAATAATTGGAATTGGCCCAAAGCTCCAAAACATGCTATTGTCTGCTAATTGCTGAAAGCCTGAAACCACATTTTACAAAGGCAGCGGGTAGTGGGGGCGAAAGAGAGAAATTCCTAAATCCAATCCCCAAATCGTGAAAGAGAAAGTAAAACCCTATACTGGTGAATGTTGTAAAGCTTGTAAAGCCATGCGTACTGGAAATGATGGGACTTGTCTTTTTGATACCTGGATTTTTTTGTGGGAATAAGCAGGCTTGTGGGAACAAATTCGATGAGGTTAGTTGTAATTTCTTTCGTTTTTGTTTTAATTTTCCGTCTATAATCTTTTATGAACTTGATTGCTAGAGGATAGATATGGCTATGTGTCAAATAAATTTGATTTCTTTGACTGTTTGTGCTGGTTGTATAACTGGAAAACTTAGTTGTATAATATAGTTATGGAGAAATTACAATTTTATGAAAAATGTAATTATAGTTGAGAACCAGATATGTTGATAGTAAGCACGAGACATTGATGTAGATTCAAGTTCTATATGACTAGAACATTCAAGAAAATTGGTTTAATAGAAATCTCATGACTCTCTTTCCAAGATTAATTAGCCAACTAAAAATTGTGATTCTGTGAAGTTAAAATTAATATGCACTATATATTGAGCTCAAAGCTCTATGCTAATTACATGTTTCTTTGATAAATAAGAATCTTTTAGCAAGAAAGCAGGAAAATTGTTGTGTGTGAGCATTAGTGCATGTATACTTTTTATGTTTTGGTGCATTTACATTAAAGTTGAAGAATTTTTAATATTATTTACTTAAATATTAATAAATAAAGTTGCAATGGTCAAATGTCAACAGTCCACCCTACGGTCAATGGTCCGCCATAGCTGACATTGGACCCTGAATTCATCCCTGTCATATAGTAAGATTCCACATACAGAGAGATATATTAAAACTCTCAATTGTTTTTGCTATGAGATAACTTATGTCTTTCATATATTTGGGATACAAAAACATGCTGGTAAACTAGGTAGAAATTCAATGGCGTCATATATTTGCCTCTGCAAACCTTATAACAAAAACACGTCACACTAAGCACATCCCCAAGTTTGATTATTACAAATTCGAATCATGATCTGATATCCTTCTAATAGATTATACGAATAAATATATAATTACTATAATTACAACTTCCATCCCCTTTAACCTCTAAAAATTCTCTTAAGACACCTGATAAACTCATGCTCTCCTGAAGAAATGATAACAGACAAAAATGCAAAAATAAACATTTACATAAAGCACATAGCAGAATTAACGAGTAGTTTAGATAATATATCCGTATGTATCAACTTACTGGTATGAATAGCGATGCTGCCATCAGAATTCAAAAAAGAAGTGTATTTTAAGGCCCTGTTTGGTCCATGTTTCACGCGGGTTGTCGCTTACAATTAAAAAGGAATCAGACAATTGTGTAAGGAAGAAACCTCTTGAGACAGTCCTAAAAAGGGGTGTTTTATTGGCTATACTTTTACAATTGGAATTTAAACAGAATGCCTCTGAGAGGCGCAAGCACACGAGTACTGAAAAGAAATGTTTCAAGTCTAAACTAAGGAATTGAAATTACATATTCTCTGTTTGAGAGTGTTTGATTCGGGGTCCATTACTCTATGTCTTTTCTTCCTTTTCTATTCCCTTGATGATCTTTTCGTGATCAACCGCTTAGAAACCGCTTAATTGTTTTATAACTGCCCACTTTCTTCATGGTGGCCAACTTATCGTAGAACTGCCGTCTCTAACTACTGCCACTACTCTTTGTCGTTCAACCGTCTTCAACTGAACATCCTTGAATCATGGAACGTGATAAGATTACTTAATAACTGCTTCGATAACTGTACTTTTGGATAACCATAACATCTTATGTTTGCTAAGATCCTGGGCAATTCGAAGGTTTGGGCGAGAACAGGGTCATAATTCTGGGCGACTACAAGGCACTTCATTCGCTCAGATCTTGGGCGTCTTGCAAGTTTGGGCGATGATGTTACCACGTTCGTGGGCTTCCACTGCATTAATTAATAATCTTATTTGGACTTTTATCCTGAATTGCCCAATTGGGCTTCATTTTTTAGGCTATTCGATTTGGGTTGCACTTTTAGTGTGTCATTAATTACCCCCCAGTATGGCAGAATTAATACCAATTATTAATTTTTGCCATATTCACTTTGTGTTTCCCAACAATATTTGAAATTTTCAAGAATTTCAATCATTATTTTCTTCCATAGCCTAAAAAGGTGCAATGTTGCAAACCCTTATAACCCCCAAATACACGCCATTTCATCGCACTACTAAATCACACCTCATTGTTTCGCACTTCTCTCTCGCAATATTACTATTCAGCTTCTTGCTTCTCTGCTACGTTTCTCAAGCAAACTTCAACAAAACTTTATTTTGTTCCTAATGGCTGCTTCACAATCCCAATCTGGTGACTCTTTCAGTTTCGAAGACTTCCAGAAACTCCTCACTCAGTCATATATAACTCTGAACTTCCTTACACCAACCAATGCCGAACTCAACGAGTTCTATCTAGGTCCTTCATTCAACAACGCCGAGGCCGTCGAACAAGTGGTGGTGGGCCAGCTGTTCCCTTGTACTCAAGGCCCTCCGTTTCTAAACTCTTTGCCGTCGAGGCCGCTTCGAGAAAGAGGTATTCACACTTGGTCTAAATCTGATGTTGTTTTCTATAGATGGCATGCTCGCCTTGTGGACCATGGTCCTACTAAGGCAATTTTTGATAGTGCTAGGATTTCTGATTTGTTAGAAATCTCTCTTCAACCCCCTACTTTTGATCCAGCGCTTTTCCCTATTGCTTTAAATTTTTTGTCCTCTGAGTATAATACTTTTGTTTTCTCTCTTGATCCCATGTCCATTACTTTAAGGGATGTTGGGGCTTTAGTAAATCTACCACCTTTGGGCGATACCATTTTCCCTGGTATTTTGATTTCTAGTGTCACCCCAAAATTTGACAGAAAGCTCACCGAGTCCTATTCAAGCCTGCAAAGCTGTTATAATCACTCGAGCGCTGAGCCTTCCCATGCTGAGCATGTGGCCTTTCTTCAGATTTGACTTTGTAAATATGTCCTGTGTGTGCCAAGCATGAATCCTTCTATGAGCTATTTACCCATAGCGCACGAATTGGCGTATGGTAGGCCTCCGAATTTGTGTTCTTTCTTTTTGGCAGCCCTCTATAGAGACATGGCTTCTCTCCAATTCCAATTGAAGAATTGTGCATCTCCCACTGGCAGTGGGCTTCTTTAGTTCACTCAAATATGGTTGAGAGCCTATTTTCCATCACTTGGTGCTTTATCCTTTTCCCATCATTCTGCTAGCTGCTATGGGCTAGCTATTGACCCACTGAGCCCTGTAAATATGTCCAGAAGGGACATCTTTTCATTCTTTTATACTTTGAATTTAATTCCTTCTTTCTTTCCTTTTCCCCCCTTTTTAACTCTAGATTATGTGCAACCCCCATCCACCCTGGACAGTGCGAGCACATCTCTGCTCGTTTGGGTTCAGTTTTTGACTGGGAGGGAGTTGTCCCATGATATTTTGACTGGAACCAATGCCAAAGCTGGGGTTGAAATATATGCTCCCCAATTTTTTGCTCGTCAACTTGGTTTTGGCCAAACTTGGCATGTTCCCCCTTGTTCTTCAAGAAATTTGATAGATCGCTTCCACACCATTAATAAGGCAGAGGCAGAAGTTATAGATGTTCGCAATATTCTTTTGACGAGTAACTTTTCATTAGCCCCCTTCAATCCTAGCCACGCCATCCATCCCCTTTTTGAACAACTCTGGCCATCAGTGCAGCGCAGATTGTTTGCAACTGATGCCAATCGCGCTTTCCATTCACTGGATCAGCCAGACTTTCTTCCACTTCTCCTGTTTTGGTCACCCCTGTGTCCATTAGGAGTCCTTCCTCTTCTGCTCGTGCTAAACAGTCTGTTCATCCTTCTACTTCTCTTCCTACCAAGCCCACTACAGCTAAAAGTACCCCAAGCCGCAAACGGCCAGCCTCAGCATCTCCCATTTTGGATGATGATGATGATGACACTCCTCTCATTGTCAGGAGAAAGGTAATTAAATTAGTTTACTCACAAGCATACCTTTCTATACTTGAAAATTTTCATGTGCTGATGGTTTATTCGGATTTCTCAGAAAAGCTCAGCCTTTCCTTTGAAGGCTTTGGTGCTGGCAGCTCCTGCTCCATCCCCCTCTGCTGAGGCTGCTTCATCTAAACCAGTTGATGAAGGGACTACACTTAAAGAGAAACCTTCAGTCCCAGAATCCTCATCACAACCAATGGATGAGTCACCTTCTTCTCAGGGTGTCAACCCCCCAAATGTCGAACCAGAAGGTAATACATTTTTTGATGTTTTACCTTTGCTTGTGCTATTGGTTTTTGATTTATTGCTTTTTGAGTTCTGCAGATGCTCCCATGGGTTTGCCCGTTGTGGCAAAGTCTTCTCGTTCAGACAAGGGGAAGTCCTCACAAGTGGTGGAGCCACAGGTGGTAGATTTGGCTGGGGATATGCCACCTCCCAAGATTGCTGATGAGGTAATCTTTGCTTCACTTTTACTTCCACTTTGTTCATTGTAGTGAAAACCTTCAATGTTGGCAACTTTCTTTACAGGATGCTGATAAGATTGTGTGTTCCATCCAGAACTTGTTCACTTCCTGGGGACAAGTCAAGACGTCTCGCCCTGCTTCAACTAGTCGTCCTTCTGCTTCTTCAGAGGAAGATATGAAGTTCCTCAAACAGTCGATATTTGAGTATGTGTCCTTTATGGATATGGACATCGGTCAGGCTAGTGCTGCCAAACATAAGGATAAGCTCGAGCATTTGAGTGCGAAGTAGGCGCAAGCACTGAAACTTCCGTCGCTCAATCTTTCTACTGATTTTAAAGCGACGTTGAAAGTTGTCCATTCCGAGATTCTCTGCTTGCTGGTCAAAAATGTTGAACTGAAGGCCAAAAGTACTCAATATCTTCGCGCTGTATTTGAAAGAGAGTCTTAGCTTCTGGAGATCAACAAAGCTGAGGACAAATTGAAAGAAATCTCTTCTGAAGTTATGATTGAAGACTCTTTGATGACTAGTTTGGCTGCATAGATGAAGGAGCTTCAAGCAAGGATGGACGAATGCAAGGCGAAATGGCTGCTAAAAAATGTAATGCCTCCTAAGGAATTGAGCGAACCAAGTCTTTGGTCGAGCAGTACAAGAAGCTGGAGGTTGATGATGATTTTGTGGCTGAATTGAATGTCATCTCTTCTCAGCAAAGCGAAGATTGGGGGAGACTTAGGGAAAGAATTCGTTCAGTCTAGGGTAAATTGTAATTAAGACATTTAATGCCTTAACTTTTCTTTTTGTAACTTCGTATTAACTTTCCCTTTGTAACCTCGTACTGATGTCCATTGGTAATTCTGAACATACCAGCAGTCATTATCATTAATGAACGATTAATTTGTCTTCTTGTGTATTTACTGACGTTGTCTTTAATCGTCAACCCCCCAAACATTTAACTGCTTTATGCTAAGATTCACGCACATTTTCTCTTGGTATTTTTGTCTCTTTTCCCAAGATTTCAGGCCATTTGATTCTAGTTACTAGGCACGGATGTGGCTGTTCATATTCTGTCTCTTCACCTTCATATCTCTATAAATGCACTTATATTCCACACTTGTCATTTTCATTTCCATTCTCTTCTTCAAAACCAATTTGCTGCCATTGTTTGGCATTTTGACAATCGATCCAAAACCTTCGTCTTCCATGGAAATGGATCATTTGATCCGCCCATTTTGCCATCCTTCTTGATGTTACCTTTGGTATGAGAGATATAGGAAATATTCTTTGGCCAGCAGTAAAGTTCTTCCCATCGTCTCCATGTTCCTTACAAGGAGTTCGATGATGGAAGATAATTTTTGAGGACGCCTGCAAGCCACCTTGCTTGCTGAGAGTGCTTCTCAGCCTCCTTGCCTGTTATTGCAGCGATGCATTTAGGAAGGCAATGTGAGGGTGCTTCTTCTTCCTTTCTGCTTACTGAGAGTGCTTCTCGACCTCTCTGTTTGCCTTTGCAGCAGTGCGATCAGGATGACAATCAAGGCCAGTTCACCCTCTTACTCGATGATCAACCGGGAGATTAGTTTGCTCTTAATTGTACCTTGTAGAGCATTTAGTATTTCGTATTTTTCAACTTTATAATGAACGTTTGATAATATAGGAATTTATTTGAATGTATTTCGCTCTGGCCCTTTTTAATCTACAATCGTTCAACGCGGTTTGATTACGCTTTTATTTGTTCACTTTCCCATAAGGAAG